TTCTGTTGCCGGCATCTGAGTGCGAATATACACTCAATTCGGTAATTAATTTCTTAGTTGTAGTTTGGAAGGTACTTTTGATGCTGTCGTTTGGTCGACAGTTCTGAGTATTGTTGAATATGTATCCACATTTTTTGAATGACCTTTCGTTCTTGGCTGGAAATATAAAGTGGAGAGGAGCAATTTGTTTATTTGTAGGAATGCTTAACTTCGGGTTTCCCATCATTAAATTGTTTATTTGGATTGTTTGTATATGATGTAGCTGTTGGATGAGATGGGAACAGATCAATGGCCAGTGGCGCCAGGGAACAGGGCATTAAGGTGTACAGGAGTTGCGTTGAGTGTTGCAGCGGGGTTGCTAGGGGCATCAACCGTGGGAACTGGTGCACGAATTATTGCATTATTAGGTGGTCCATGCACAGAAGGTCCTGGATCGGTAAACCCTTTAACTTTCCTGCAACTCTATATTGTCATTATAATTTGGCTAGATTGTAATTCATTGTTTGTTAATTATGTGCCATTAAGGAACAAGTTGGTTGATTGGCGTGTAGCTTTTCTTTTACGGTTTTCTTGTGACTCGATGCAACTGGGTTAGATAATTTACATCCAGATTCTATATAAAAGTTTCGGTAGAATGCAACTTATGTTGTAGGTGATTATTTTTTTTCATAGTTGTGTCATTAAATTGGCACTGATTAATGCTATTTGATGACAATGCACAGTTTTTTTAATCTTACAAGAATTGATGGAAAGAAGAGCATTAAGTTGCTAATATTATAAAAGAAACTCTACCGATGCAATAATGCATTTAAAATGGAAAATGATACAATAAAGGTTTTAAGTTATCTCGTAATCCAAGAATTTTATAATTGGATAAATCTTACTCCCGGGAAATCTTTCAGATCCTGTAAATTTAACAAATGGGTGTTTAATGTAAACAAGGCTATTCACTTATTGGGTAACAGCCGGTAACTGAACATGCCTTGCCATAGTTGTCTCATCATTTTGGTGCACTTCTAAATGTGCACAGCTGTAGCTGTGGGATTTAATACTAAAACTATTTGCTCTTTCCACCCATTTTCACATTAGTAAAGATGTTCTTGGCTTGTGGTAACCTTTTATTTTCCTTTAAACTGAATAGTTTAAGTAACTGTCTCTATTGAGTTAAGCCCATTTTCTGTTGCTGTCATTTGGTCTAATTGTCCATCACTATTTTATGCTGGTTGATTTGATCTGAACTATTTAACAGCTGCTATATTTGTTTACAGATTGTATCCAAAGACTTGTCCGATCCGGCTCGTTCTCATAAGGACCTTGACAAGGATGCGGCACCATTTTTCAAAAAAGCAGTACATTTCTATGAGGAAATTGGAAAACAGCTAGTCAACCAGGGTCATGTTTTGGATGTCTTTGCCTCTGCACTTGATCAGGTTTATAATGCTTTGCATTACATGTTTTGTTTAATAATGAAGTTTTATGCTTCAACAGATCTGGATGAAGAATAAGGCTATATATTTTTCTTTTTTTCTCCCACACAAGTATGGGATAAAGCTTTGTTTAATTTAGTTGAGTGTGTCTTGTGTACCTTTCTGTCATCTGCATAATTAATGTAGGTTGGAAGTTTATTGGACTAGGGCGACAAACGTATAACACATTTTAACTTAAGAATATTATGTATGTAACTAAACATATATTTTTGTAAATGAATGTCTGTATGCCTGTATCTTTTATGTATAGAATGTATATATGTGTACATACAAAAGAAATGTCATTCTTATTTTATAGTGAATTTGGTAAAAAACATGAAGTACTGAAATGCAGTAGAAGGGCTATAGTTGCACTTTATATTGACCTGTATGTGTGGCACTTGAAGGACCTTATCTTTGGCTTGTGGAAATATAATATTCAGCTTATAAAATATAAATACTGAATGTAAAATAGAAGGTATTTGTTGGCTTCTTTACTGTAATGTTGTGCTTTCATGTTCTGTCTTCAGTTTCCGGGCTGCCATTTTAGGATGTTTCAAGGCATAAAAACTGACCGATCCTTTGCTGGGTTCTGAATACTGCCGTCCCTTTTATCCTGCCTACTTATATTTTAAGTTTGCAGGTTGGGATTGCTGAGATGAAGGTTGCCATTGAAAGAACTGGCGGACTTGTTGTTCTAGCCGAAAGTTTTGGTCACTCTGTCTTCAAGGAATCATTCAAGCGCATTTTCGAAGATGGGGAACAGTCTCTTGGGCTTTCATTCAAGTGAGTTGCTTGATACTAAATGTGGAAACTTCCTCTTTCGTTTTGTAACTATTATTTTCTTCTCGTGTGAGGCTGCCATATGAAACTCTGATGTTTAACTATGATAGCATATGGAGGGAGGGGCAAATACAGAGTTTTTAATCAATCTGCTCATACACAAAACATCGCTAGGAATGTTGGTGATCCTTTTTTCTACATCCTGTTCTGTCTTTTTCTTCACTTCTCTAATGCTGGCATGATGCCTTCTGGGGTCAGATTTTTTAGCATAGAACTTTTCTTATATCCAGCTAATTTGGAACTTATATTTTTCTATGAAATTACCACTGAGCTATCTTCTGCATTTTCAGCATCTCTACTGATGTGAATACATTTCTTTTCTCGCTCCATGTTTCTGTGATTATGTTTATCTAAATATGTCGCATTTGTTTCTTAAGAGGAAATTATTGAAAGAGAAAAACTTACAAAATTTTATTGCTGTCAGTGGAACGCTTGAGATCAACTGTTCAAAGGATATTAAGATTCAAGGGATTATTGGTTCATGCACATCATTGGAGAAGGTAGGTTCATTCAGTATTTGTGCGCAGTACAAGGCATGTAATAGTAGCAGCTGAGATTAGTGGCCTTATCGTTTTGAACTTTAGGAACTATTTCTGTGTGACGACTATTATCTAGTTTGACAATGATCCATGAGATCCTTGCAGAAAGGACCTGCTGTTGCAAACACTGTTATCGGACAGGGCAATACTACAGCTTGGAAGATGTGCGGTCTCGACAGAAACACTTGCATGACTGTGTTTTTTGATATTTCTTCTAATGAAAAGTCAGATCCATCCGGAATGAATCCTCAATTATACATACAGTTCATTACAAGGTATTAAGAATCTTTTTAACTACTTTCCTTCTTGAAATTGATCCTACCCACTTTTCAACACTTATCATTTGCTGAGTCGATTTAGTTTTTCTCAAATCTTGAATTCCAAGATATCTGTGGCTACTCATTTTGGTCATGGCAAGATATTCACATTCTACGGGCCTTCGCGACAAAGTTTTTGATAAAAGTTAATGGAATGTGTGGTATAAAAATTGATAAAAATTGTGGGTCTCGATTAAAATTGAAATTGGACCAGTTGAAAAGTTGATAAAGCTCAAAGTTTTATCAAACAAGGTGTATATACTATTTATGTCTTCTAATTTCTGCGCTTAACCTTTATAAATTGGAATAGAACTGCTGGTGGCCTAATTAATTCGTTCATGTGATATAAATACAGTTACCAGAGCCCCGAAGGCCAAACAAGGCTGAGAGCAACAACTGTTACTAGACGATGGGTAGATAGTGCTGTTGGCACTGAGGTAAGATGATAGTTGTCTTAATTTTTTGTGTGGTTAGAGATTTCTTAATTGTTGCCCAAATTTTGGAACTACCCCGTTCCCAAAGATGTAGAGAATTTCCCTTCCGAAATAGTCCCTTTTAGAGCTTTTTTTCCCTCCCAATCGGTCTTTTTTTTTTTTCACTAGTTGTTTTATGTGCTCGAATTAATTAATGAGCATGTTTGGGTGGGCTTTTTTTCTAAAAAATAAGTTGGTCAAATACTCTCAGAAGCTCCCAGAATATCCAAACATGAAGAACTAAAAAAAGCTGACTTATTTTTTAAGCCAAAATCTTGAAAAAGAGGGCAAAAAATCAGCACCAAACCCCATACGTATTTTGCTTATTTTTGGGTTTGACCAAGTAAAAACCTTTTTACCCTTACCCTATCATGAATACATGTTTGGCCACCTATTGTATTAAAAAATCATTAAACAACATAATTGCCAATTCAGTAATTCGTCATATTGGTTTTGCTTATAGGTAGATTGCCAGACATAAACATGCTTAATATTTACAAGACAACATATCCAATTAAACATTACTTAACATATTTTACTTATAAGAAGCTATTTTTTAAGAACAAGCTCGTCCAAACATGCTCTATATGTTGCTTCAAAAGAGTAATAGAAAATTCTCAGAAGTTATCCTATATCACTTTTCTGGCCTAGATGGGAAGATCAGGACACTCTTTTTGATGGTAAATTTGTCAGGATATTTTTATAATGACAATGATATCCTGAGCTGATGGTTTTACCGTAGTGTGTTATGCAAGTGAATCAGGTGGAAAGGAGAGAGGAAACGTATAAATAGCGAAAATGATTATTATTATTTTTTTTGTTTTTTAATGTTTTAACTATGTATTTGATTAATAATCACTGGTCTTTTAATAAATTTACTTCAGTGTCTTTCCCGTAATAGTAGAAAAATAAGTTCTGAAATGTATTTCGGACTACTAGTTAAACAGACAAGTCAGCTTTGATAAAGGTATATGGACATTCTGAGATCATAAGAGAGATCTTCAATGGATCCGTTTATAATTTTTTCTTTTCGATGTGATTTCCAAGAAAAATACTGGACTTGAACAAATTTTAAATTTTATTCAGTATTCTCTACAAGTATATATTATAACTTCGAATATTCCATTGACGACGACTGCTCTTCTTTGTCTGACAAAAGATTGACATTCCATATGCTCATACACATTACATTCTGAAGATTTTGGGGATTATTTACACTTCAAATTTATAAAGCTTCTTGGCTAGTATGCTCCTCCAAATTTTATGAGAGTAACATTATCAAATAGTCAATCCTAATTTGAGTTTTGTGTCTGCAGGACTTAGTGAGCGGGTTTGATCAAGAGGTTGCTGCTGTAGTCATGGCTAGATTAGCTTCTTATAAAATGGAGATGGAGGTGCTTCTATTATTTAGTTGGACAGTTTAAGTATAACTCCATGCATGTGCAGACGCACTCACACGCACCCTCTCTTTTTCAGCATTGTCCTGCGGACTGTTTAAATTTCTTCCCCCATACTATTTCTTGCTAAATCACTTAGTTATTGGTTCAGTCTTTCTTGTATCTGGAATTTTTATGTCCCTTTGATATGAGGTCTTGGAACAGTAAAACTAGAGCTGATCTTGTTGTGCTGTTAATTTAGGGGTAGGATTCATCAAATAAAATGTTGGTTGTGGTGGGAAGATATTGTTCAAACTTTTGAAATATGTTGGGGCATAAATCTGGTTTTATAAGTTTAGTTGAATATCACTATGCTGTATAAAGTAGATTTACTGCACATCTGGTTGTAAATTAATTTGTTTGTCATTCATATTCTGATTTCAAACCGTTTATTTCTTTAATTCTCCTTCTCAACTCTATTTGTGCCATGTCCATGACATCATTATTGTACTGCAGCCATCAGTACTTGTTAGGGTGCTCATGTGATACATGCTTAATATGCTGGTAATTTGAGAGGAATACATGATTAAATTTGAATAAGTGAATAACAAAGAAGATCACTTCTCTGGCTCTTTGCTGAAGATCCAAACTAGATTTAATTTATTCTCTTTTGCCGCACACAAACAAGCACATAAAGAGTAGTTGCAAGGGTTCCCAGAGTTGTATACAATAAAAGAAGATCACTTCTCCGGCTCTTTGCTGAATATCCAAACTCGATTTAAGTTGTTCTCTTTTGCCCCACCACAAACAAGCACATGAAGAGTAGTTGCCAGGGTTCCCAGAATTGTGTACACTCGGGATATATATAGTGTGGTTCATAGTCAGGTTTATAATAGTTCTTGACTTTGGATTTTACGTGTTCTATTTTTCTTGATAATAATTTCATGGACTTCAAGATTTCTGATTTGAGGAGGATTCACTGTGTTCTGAGGTTTGTAGCGTTATATATCTGTTAGTTCTTATCACAAACTTCTGTGGCATAGAAGCGGCTATTCTGCTGCTTGAAGAGCATTTTGAAGAAGGAACATCCTAACAGGATTCTTTTTTAGAATGATAGTTTGAGATAGTATGCAACATGCACTGCCCTGATGGAGTAGAGTTCCTTTTTTGTTTTCTTTTTTTTTTTTTGTAATATATAA